ATTTTGTATTTAACCACTCACCACTTTATAAATTAGAATTTTATTTTATACTTCTAGAACTCAAATATAACAATTTAAAAAATTCATATATCTCAAAGTTTCACCTTATTTTCTCATCTTTATTTCTCTTTCGACTTTCAGCCTGATAACAATTGTTTGATACTCAATTACGATGTTTCAATAATTAACATCATTTATTTATTTTTTATATTTTACATATTTCCAATTTCTTGATATTAAAATATATGAACATTTATCTTATCATAAACTGAAAATGTTTCATTACTTTCAAATGAAATACAATATAAATGAAAATATATTTTTGTAATTTTGTATTTAAAACAATAAAATACTCAAATATTCTTGTATTTACTACTTTTAATCATTTATTTACATATTTTCATTTTTTTATTTAATTTCACTTTTAGTAGTTATAAGTAACAATAAATATATTTAAACATGAATTAAATGAATATTTTAAAACTTATTTAAAAAAAGGCCTATGTGGACAGTCAAGATGAAGAGAAAACTCCCTAAATATATAATAGATTCAAGTATAATTCAATATATAAAACTTAGGGGGGTTATTGGGAGTAGAATTTAGATAGACTTTGTGGATTTTGAATGCTTAGAGATTTGTTAAACTTGTAGAGAAATTTGTTAAGTTTGGAAAGAGTTTGTGTATTTAATAAATCTATCAAAAAATTGTATTGTAAGAATTTTGAGAATCTCATGTATATACCTAAGATTGTGAAAGTTTTATTTAATGAGTTTAATTGTTAAGAATTCTACTCTCTATAACACTGGATTTTGCTAGAATTACAGAATCATTAAAAACCAAACATTTTGAATAATAGTTGATTTCATTAAGATTATTAGAATTTATAAACCAATAACAATAGAATCTAAGAATTCTAAAAATCATTAAGAATCTTATTCCCAATAACACCCTCTTAGTCAATTATAATAATGGCATAATGGACATTTATCTATTATTTAGCTTATTTTTTAATTCAAAAAGATTTGGTGTATTCCTTTAATTTGTTTTAAAAAATAGCCTATTTACTTAATTCTCCCAAAACATATTTATCTCAAATAAATAACTAAATATTAATCAAAACAATGAATACAAATTTTCATTATTATTTATTATAAATATAATTGTATAATTGAAATTAGGATAAAAATGTCTTTTCACATCGAAAAATAGTTAGTTTTTAATTTTTTTTAAAGTGTATTTTCCAAATTTAAAAACACAAATAGGGTGTTTTCAAAATGTCCCTAATAAATTTCCATAACACTGCATAAAATTTGAAAGAAAAAAAAAGATAATGGATTTTTGATTATATATCATTATTACTATATTTATCCCACAAATGGTCAATTAATATATTTTTTAAATATGTTATTACTGCATTTTTAGTTTTTGAATTAACAATTTTAATTGATTTTCTAATTAAATTTTATTTATAACTATGTTTAAGCAATAAAATAAGTGAAAGAAAATTATTAAAATAATAAATTTAAACCTTTATGTTTATTTGTATAACAACTAAAAACATATAAAAGTTTAAAGATCAAAGTGTAAATAAAAGAATTATATACTAAAATGAATATTGTAAATAGTGTTCTCACAAATTTTAAGGAATACTATTCATAAACTTATTTTTCTTCATTGTGAAGTACCATTTCCAATGGAGATTATTTTTCCTTATATTTTGATGTTTTCTCTTAAAATGAAGGACCATCGAAGATGTTAGCATGTTTATCGGATTCCTATCTTTGCAATTGCAAGGGTAAGGGTTTGTACCAAAATAGAGTATATGATGTGTTTCGCTATGCACTACCAAGTTAACGAGCGGTAAGATCTTGTTCCACGAGTCCCTTGTATTCACAAATCACTCTCACATTACCAATCGGAATAACACTTTTGCGACGATAGAAAGAAACTAATATCTCAAGTCTAAAAGTGGTCCTAAGATTAATTTTCATAACCAACTCTTCCTTTTCCATTAATAAATTAGGTCCTGGTTCCGCCGTTTTGACTTTGATAACTTTTATTTATATACATGTGCTGTGCATATGTAATATATATGCCCACTTGATTTTATAATATTTGAAGGGAAATCAAACTATTGTCTAGTCTTTTAGGTAGTTGTACTGTCCAATATATGTGAACTGATCATCATTCAAGTTTTCAGTTTAGTTTATCAATGTTAAACAATGCCTAAACAAG